AATATATATATTTGTATGTTTGTATGTTTGTAAGTATGTATGTATGTATAATACACACACACATATATATAGATACCCAGTTGTGATAGGTTAATATACAATGTATTTCTACGATCACCTATCCGAAATGTGCATATCTATAGCCATAGCTGTGTTCCATGGGTGCGTATGTATGTTATTTCATACACACTTATGTATATCTATACTCATCCATCCGCATCATGAATACGTACTCTTGTACTTTAACTACACGTGTGCGTATGTGAGTGGTCTTATGTCCATCCTCTCACCCATCACCTCTATTCCCATATTTACACACACTATCACTTATAACTATATCATCAAACACGCCCACCTCTCATCCGTCCTAACCCCACCCACCACGCTCCTTCCCATCGCCGCGTGTGCGTCACAGGAGTTCCCCTGCAATCCCCCAACAGGTTACAACACCACCACATGCAACGCTCTCCCCTTCGCCACAACGGCACCCGACTGTCAGCCTGTACCTACCTCACCACCACCCACCACGTGCATGAACGGGCAGCTGTCGGCCATGGCGCTGCCGGTGATCTTGCCTCAGTGTAACATGGGAGAGATAGATAATATGTGTCTGCTGTGTACACTGTACCGTAACTACCAGATTCCCCAGCCCTCGTGTTACCGTTTGTTGGACGGGTCACAGACCACGTGGGAAGACCCCACGGATTTGGAGTACGCGTTCATTGTGCTGTACACAGTGTTTGACTCAGCACTGTTCCTGGTGGCGGGGCTGTTTGCTGTGGTGGCGATTCCGTTGGCGTTAAAACTGCCCAATGAGAAGCACCAGCGCACCCAGTTCATGCTCTTCACTCTGGCCATCATCTGGAACTGCGGGTCATGGGTAGGTGGGGTGTCGTAGGGTTATAGAGTTTATACATGCTGTGGATAGTGTGTGTTTGTCGTGTACATGCTGTGGATAGTGTTTGTGTGTCGTGTACATGCTGTGGATAGTTTGTGTGTGTCGTGTACATGCTGTGGATAGTGTGTGGGTGTCGTGTACATGTTGTGGATAGTTTGTGTGTCGTGTACATGCTGTGGATAGTGTGTGTGTGTCGTGTACATGCTGTGGATAGTTTGTGTGTGTCGTGTACATGCTGTGGATAGTTTGTGTGTGTCGTGTACATGCTGTGGATAGTTTGTGTGTGTCGTGTACATGCTGTGGGTAAGTGTGTCTGTGTCTGTGTCGTAGGTTTTAAGGTTTACATATGCTCTATGGAGCTATGGTGATGTTTTAGGGTTTTAGGGTTAGTGTATCGTTGACATCTGGAACCCAGGATCATTTCACAAACATGACAAACAAACAAACAAACAAACAACCAAATAAACAAACAAACATGCATACACACAGGAATACGAGTCATACGAGCCATCGACACAAGTGGTGGTCTGGTTTGTTGTTTTAGCACTGCTTCATTCGATGGTTTGTTTGTGCTACACTTTCGTGGGCGATCGTGTGCACTCCATCGAAATCCTGAAACCCTCACTCTCTGTAGTCTCACCAATCATTCGGCATACCCTACACCCACGCACTCCTTGCGGATCTCCCTTCACACGACCCATCTCATTTTTAACCAACCGCCAATCACAATCCCATATCCTAACCATGCTCCAATCGCATTGCCCCATACTGCAGCTGGTGCATTCTACAGTCCACGGGGTAGCGGAGAAGCCCATGCCTGCGTGGAAGTGGCTGACCATCACCATTGTGTTCCATTGGGGTACTATGCTGGCCAGTGCCGTGATTGTGTACTGCATGTTTGAGATCATCACTCTCTCGTACGCGTACTCCAAGAGTGAAATGCGCACCACCCAGCCGGGTGTCACCACACAGCCACAAGGCATGGGCCAACCAGACGGTACGCAGACATCGGGCGAATGGGGATCACGCGACATGCCTCTAGACACAGCAGCTGCACTCTGGCACAGTGCAGATGTGTTACGGGACGAAGGTGTGGGTGTACGTGATAACGAAGGCGTGGGTGTGGGTGTGAATGAAGCGAGGGTAGCGCACGTGGAGATGGCGGAAAGGGCATTACATGTAGGGAGTGACACGCACGCGCATGAGGTGTAGTGGGAATAGTAAGTCACACCCCACACTCAAAGGTGGTGTAGTATTAGAGTTTTTAGTTTGAATTTAGAGTTTTTAGGTAAATCAGTAGGTAGAGTACAAGCCTACCTACCTATGATTAATAGGTAGAGTACCAGTCTACCTACCTATGATTCGTCGTCTTTGGCACGGGACGGTGCTGCTATGCAATGTTGCACATAGCCACACAAACAAGGCTTAGGTTTTTTTAGGGTTTAAGGGAAAACCCAAAACCCAAAAAAACAATGAGATGGCAACTCCGCCCTGAGATCCTATATGACTTGATCCCGTTAGTGCGTTCGTGAAAACGTTAAACGTCACTATGTGCGAAAAACGAGGATAGTGGAACGGATGAACTGGTGACTACACAGCCACTTGCTGTGCTGTGCACAACATGTGCTGTAGGAGAGTACGTCTACGCTTATCTGTCAGCGGAGCATGACGTATATTTACTTACTCCCCTGAGAGAGTATATTTGCGTGATCCATCAGGCGAACATATATACGTAAGCCAGCAGACGAACTTGTTTACGTATTCCATCAGACATACATGTTTACGTAATCCATCAGACAGACGTGTTTACGTGATCCATCAGACAAACATGTTTACGTAATCCATCAGACAAACATGTTTACGTAATCCATCAGACAAACATGTTTACTAATCCATCAGACAAACATGTTGACGTAGTTCCTCACGACGTATATTTACGTGCACCGTCAAGAAAGTATAGCTGCGTAATTCATCAGACAAACATGTTTACGGAATCCATCAGAAGAGTATGTATACGTATATACGATTTGGACAGATACAGTTTTCGGGCGGCCGCTCCCTATCTCTTCCCCGTGAGACATCGCACTCACAGTGCGATACACAAACACTAAATAGTGATTACGTACAATACACAAATACGTAAAATAGCAATCGCACCTCACACTACTAAGCGACTACTTACAATGCACAAATACGTAACATAACAATAGGAACCACACACTACACAGAACAGTAGTGCACACCTCGGGCAAAACAATAAAGTAAACCCAAACGAAGAGTATAATGAGATCAATTGTCTCTATGTCACACCGTGGACGACCCATTCCTGCACACCAAGGTGTCTGAGAAATCTATATCATATAAATATACACACCTACACACACACATATATATATAAATATATATATATATGTGTGTGTGTATGTTTGTATGTATAATTGTATAACTGTATGTATGTATGGATGTATAATTGTATGTATGTATGTATGTATGTATGTATGTATGTATGTATGTATGGATGTATGTATGTATGTATGTATGTATGTATGTATATATGTATGTATGTATGTATGTATATATATACACACACACACACACATATAGTATATATATC